GGGAGTTTGAGTAGAAACAGACTGAAAAATTACCCAAATCAAAGTAAATTACCTACCTTTGCCTTCAAAAATCCAATCTTGAACAATAGTTATGGCTGATTTGGTAGGGGGAAAATTAGGGTTCTTGAGGTAGATATGGTAGAAGAAAAATTGGATGCAAAGGGAAATATTACCTTTTGGGGGAGGTTTTAATTAGAGCTGATAAATTATTTTTTTCCTTTTTATTTTTAATTTTACGATTACATAAAAGCATTAAATGCCCACATTTGTGGTTATACACAGCGCGTCTGGGAGAGGGCTTAAAAGGGTTAAAAAAAATCAGTCTGAACTAGTATAGGGTGGTATTGAAACACTCGTAAAGGTTAAGAAACTAATTTATCGGGACAAATACGGGAAGCTTTTTCTTCTATTGGAAAGTGGGACTGTTAGGAGTAGATTTAGCTTACGTAAGCATTTACAGGAGTCACTGATTATGTGAGTTATACATGGCCACCACCTTCTTTTTTTTGCTTCTATAAAGGTAGTGGCCACGCCAGTTGTTGCGCAACTGCACTATTCCTATCTTCGATCAGCAAATGTGCACTTGGTTTTTTATCACGTTTGCGAATTTAAACTTTAATCTTTCATGATTATCAGTTAAATCACACATTTGAATGCATATAATCATTTAGAAGTGATTGATACGAGTTATAGGCCTTTACAAGCCAAATGAAAAGATATATTATTCTTGAAACCTCATGAGAAAAATACGACATGGATAAGCAACAACGACGTCACTTTCTCTTTTGCCCTCAAAGAAAACACCAACATCCCTAAAGGAAGTCACATTTTTATAGGCAGTTGTGATCTCCCAAGACCTGGCTCAAAATTTTGTTTAATAACTATAGCTCCAGTGGTCGAGAAACTTTGATGCTACAGTATGCCAGAAACAGAGAATTGAGGCGGTTAGACCTACACCCCAAAAATGCTACCAGCATAGGAGCCTATGCTTCCATTCTTCTTATTGATGAAGGTGCAATCACTTTTCTCAGTGTGAAACGATATACAAGAAATATGTCATCAGCCTGCGATGTCCAATAACAAAGGATGTAGTGAGTTGAGAATGCACTCACTGGAGGATAAGTTAAGTGATACTTCGGCTCCACATTCACATCAGGAGCATTTTGTGCTTGCCCATTTAGTACAATTCCTAGTTCACCGAGAGTTGCCTGTTTTAAAGCTCGCATTAAAAGTACAGATTCCTATGCATGTTCCAATTTTTTATTGTTCAAAATAAGAGCCAGAAGACTTCAGTACGAATACTTTCATTTAGTACAGAATCAAAGAAATGACACTTCACTTCTATATATATGCCATCAATATTACAGCAGTAGCAATAATAACACTGTTACCATTAGGCAGTTGCAGGTGCAATAGCAATCGCCTGCGCATGAAAAGAACAAACAAATTTCACAAATACAACAGCATTAAGTGCCAAACACAGAATTTACCGAGGAGAAACAGGAGGGACAGGAGTTGAGTAATGCACGATAAGAATTATAAACCAACGTTAACACTGTTTGCGTTTACATACATTGAAACTTTTCCACTGTTGTGTGCGCTCGTGTAACATTTTCATTTTTCTACATTTGAGGCACCATGTCTCTTTCAAGAACAGAGTCTAACATGCTCAGAAAAATTGCCAGAATGAAGTACTACTATTGATGGTTTAACCAGAAGACAGGGTCCTCTTTCTTTCAGTTAATCCCGAAGCCAACTGGACAAATATCATAGATATAATAAAAAACAATACACCTCTAGTTCACTCTGAAGCCCAGTATATTCTTACTAACGGACCATGCCTTCTTACTCTTCTTCTAACCAAATGAGATCCATTAGCAAATGGCTCACTATTACAAAGAGAAACCTGATCAAATCAATCAGTAAACCGGCTCTTTTTACCACTCCATCCTGAACCTATATTGGGGCTTCTGCTACGACTGCGCTTCCGTGGAGCATCCGCATTGTGGGTACCATGACCATATCTGTCACTACATGATTAGAAACTAGTCAAAACCAAGTAAAAAGGGGAAAAAGAAAATCCAGAGGAACTTATGAATGGCTGAATACCTGTCACGTGATCCCCGGTCATAACCATGTCCTCCATTCCGTCCAACATAGCTGGAATTATAGGGTCCACCACGTCCTCCACGTCCACCTGGGCCAGAACCCCAGTGATTCCTAGCCCTTCCCATACCACCACCGCGAGAAGCCATATCACGTAGCTCAGTTGGCACACATTGATTTGCACCTTCTAAAACTTTAACAAGATCTAAAGCATGCTTAGAATCCTGGTCGGAGAAAAATGTGTAGGCCAGACCAGATGCTCCTGCCCGGCCTGTTCTACCAATTCTGTGGACATAATCTTCTATTCCAGTTGGGAAGTCATAGTTTATCACCACCCTGTGACAATATGTTCTCATTAACTACCATTACCCCAAAACCCTCCACTCATTTTTTCTTTTAAAAAAAACGAATATGCATATGGATGCATAAACATATTATGCTTATTGCACATCAAAAGAGTAGGTTACATCACAATATACTATTAGGTCTTAGTCCAAGACCATGGTCCAAGTTGGAGCTGTATGTACTTATGGAAGGCCAAAGTAGTTACTGATTATTCACATCCCACACTAAGAGGCAGAACTGTGGATAGAAACTTGACTGCTTGGCTCAAGTTCAATTTCTAGGACAGAGGGTGTGTTTGGTATGAAAGAAAATGTTTTCCATGAAAAATGTTTTCCTAGAAAACGTTTTAATGGAAAATGAGTGATTTCATTACTTTATTTTTTCCTTGTTTGGTTGGTGAGTGGTTTCCGGAAAATATTTTCTAGTGTTTGGTTAGAGAGCAGAAAATATTTTTTTATGCTACTCTCCTCACCCCTTTCCCCCAAGTACCCATGTTTCCTTGCTCACCCCTCCCTCCCCCAAATACCCAACGTTTTTAGAACTCTATTTTCTTCAAGGAATTTAATTATTCTTCTAAAAATTCATACAAACCCAAAGGAACTAATATGCTGCTTTACTTTTTTATGCAAAAATAACATTAAAATTTGTGTTCCATAACTTTAAAAAACACTCTTTTTTTGGTTGAAAAAGAAAGTACTCTTTCTGCAACATGAAAATAAAGTACCCATTTTATTGAAATAAAAGAAAATACTTTTTCTACATCATGAAAAGAAAATACTCAAATTGTTGAAATGAAAAAAAAAATACTTTTTTTACATCATGAAAAGAAAATACTTTTTCTATGAAAAGAAAGTATTGTTAATAATATTTTTATTTAGGGTGGGGTGGAGGGTGAGGGGGT